ATTTTTCGTCTGTCAAAGGACTTTAAATATTTGCTGTATGAAACTTAAATGTGCTTTTTAAACAGATATCTCTCAGGTTGCTTCAGCTGTGTTACTAAGCTTCCTTTGGACTGTTAAACTGGAGCAACATTTGTATTCTACTTTTCATTCAGCTTTTATTCTGTTCTATTTTCTTTCGCCTTTCACTCGAGACAGTAAAACCAGATAAATCAATTTCAGGAAATTCCCCTCCCCTTTCTCCTGCTTTGTCCAGTGAATTTTACTGTCTGTTTTTCCTGACTGCTAACCTGAGATACACTGCACTGCAAATACTTGGACTGGGGAAGGTAAGATTTAGATTAAATATCTTTCCCTAAATATTTCAGAAATCTCACAGAAATAGTTCTATTTATGAAACAACAATTTTTCAAATAAAAACAAGGCTATATTTGGAAATCAATTTCTTTTAAAACATCTTCTAAAGTGAAAGAAACAGCTCATACACTGGACACTGGCTATTTGGTCATTATTCTAAGGATAATTTTCAGGAAGATAAAGCTGGACACTCATTCCAGTCAATGATAGGAAGAGGGAAACAGAGTTCTGCGAAACTGCATCTTCAAAAGCAAAGCTTCACTCAAGATACTGAAAAAATGAAAGCCTTTTCCCTACTTTTCTGAAATCTGAGTTCATGGACAAAATAGTCTTGATTGTGTCTTTGGCAGGTCAGAAATTATATGCTTAGAAATATAACCTGTAGCGGTTAGACACTGGTGTGTACAAAAAGGGAAACATTGAATATATTGGTTTACAACTGCATGAAAATGCAGGTATTTCTCCTTTTGTTTAGAATATTGTATTACTTTTTCAAAGGATACAGCTTTTAAAATTAATACCTCAAAAACTATGGGATACCTTTAATTTGGATTGCATCTACTTAAAATGAGAATTTCTCTCCAATTTGTTTTAAAATCTGCCTTTCTCCAAGGCTTAAATCCCACTCTGAATATGAGGTAAACTTTACCCATCCACTTTCAACACACCTTTCAAACTTTTGCTTTTTTGGCCTTGTGTTGATCAAATTGTTTTGCATCTTTTTGTTGTTTCCTTCATGTCATGCTGACTGAACAAATATTCATGTATAAATAAGAACAAATTCTGATCAAATATTTCAAAATGTGTCCATAAATTTCCTTTAAATAAAAAATGTGATTAATCCTGCCTGTGTCTTTTTCACTTTTAATTGATAACAAACAGGACAGCTCTGGTTGCAGGAGTAATAATTTTTCAGGAAAAAAATAGAGAAAATGGAAAGGGAGTAAATAGGAACTGCCACCAATTAAACTAAATTTTTTATCTGGATTTTAAAATTTAGATAAGAAGCAGGTTTGTGTTCTGGGTATCTAATAAAAATAATTTGGTATAAAAAGACTCTGCTGCTTTCTAGAAGACTATTCTCAACTTTTAGCTCCTGCGTCCATGGCAGTCACAGGTGTTCTTTACCCTTTACACGGGAGCCAGCTCCATTTTCTAATGATTATTTTGTTTCTCTGAGGGCTGTTACTTTTGCAGAGGCTGTTTGCCAGACTCCAAAATTGAGGTTTAGTTACCTGGACAGTTCAGATTCAGAGACAACGCACTCATTTCTGTCTGTGCAGTGTTTGTATTTCTTACCCAAGAAGGAAGAGGACAACAAGGTAGAGTTCCAAATGTCTGATTGGGTTCCATTGTTTCTCGGCTTTTCTTGTTTCCTTTGTGTTTCTCTGGCAAGAGATTCAACCTGTCTCTCTCTCTCTTTGATTCAATTTTGAGATTTCTGGAAATGTGGTATTGCTGCTGGTAATTCTGTAAGCCTGAACTGCATTTCTCCCTCAAAATAGAGATTAAATCTTTGTTATCTATAAAAAACATACACTTCCTCGGAGTACCAGAGGCAAATTCTGTGAAACCTATTTCTTTGGAAAACAGTCTGAAGATGAAAAGCATCTTCATAATATAATGACAAGAAATAGCCGAGTCAAACCAAACCATTAAAAATAAAAATTGCCAGAGTGACCATTACTTCCTGGGCAGGACACTTCAGATAAGGCCACAGATGAATTTTTAGGTCAGATTGCTATCACAGAGGTCTGACCCTGACAGATAAATATCCAGGAGCCTCAATCCTTGATTCCCAAACCTCAGGGAGATGGTGCATTGTGCCACCTTCTCCATGAGCAGCTGGCTGGAGAAGGGGACTGGGCTGTGACTCTGCCCCTTTTCATTTCTCATGTGGAATGTTCCTCAGTGTCCCATCTAATGGAGTGGAAATTATCCCACCCTGGGCCTGTGCTTGGCCATCACTGTTTTAGGCTGTCTAGCTATTATTTTTAGACTATACATATTTAACAGTTCTGGAGATGTCCTTAAAATACCTCCCAATCCAACCTCAATGCTGAAGATGCAAAAACCAGAATGCCACATGTATTTTAATTTGATTTAAAAAAAATAAATAAATCTGGAGTAAAAGGAAATTCTTTCTGTGGGAAAAATCTGTCTCAGATTGAACACCTCTCTTGAGGAAAGTTGTATGTTTTTATTTCTCACAGTTCCTGTTGTTATGCAAACCTTTTGCACAATTTTGTCACAAGCAAGTAGAAAACAAGATTTCCTAAATATGGATTGGTGCTTTTGTCCAGGTATCAGCAAAGGTTTAAAGTGAACGCTACATTTCAAAAGCTTTATTAAGTGTTTCTGTCTAGACAAAGGGTTTTTTCAAAGCTGCTAAAGTGTATCATTATCAAACTTTTAAAGCAGACAATGATCCAACTTGTCACCATGAAAACTAAAGTTTTAATAAAAATGTTGACCATAAGAATTCTCTCCACATGGGACAATTACTGTTTACAAGAAAGGTGAATGCTGCTTTCTGTAGGCAACCATGCTACAGCTTTATCCAGCCCTTGCACAATAAAAGCAGACACTTTAATCTTTCTATCAAATCTGGAAAAAAGACATCTGAAGTCTTCCCTCTGCTGCCATTAAATTACAAATCCATTTGCTTCTTGATATTATCAGCATTTTAAAGATGTGTTATCCAGGCCATGGAATTGCTTTTAATCCTCTAATAGCTATTTAAGCTGATTTGTTTGTAAAAGCCCATCCACAATCCTTTCATGTTGAATTACCCAGTGTCAATAATGTGGCCAAAGAAAACTAGAAGGCACTACAGAAAAGGCATGTTCAGGCAGTAAAGCAATCAGGGCCAATTTATCTCACTGGAATAAATGAGCAGGGAATGTCCACACACACCCATACACACACACAGAGTATCTTTGGAAACATTTGTCTCCAGCATACTTCGGCAGGAGGCAAACCAAAATCCAAAACATTCTGAAGAGAGACTGAAGTGGTACCAACAGGAGAGCCCTGCTGAGGTAAGCTGAGGTAAGTACAATAGCTGAGTAAGGTCTTAGTAAGCCTCTCCAAAACAGAGTCTAAGCAAGTAACAAATAGTGTCTTCAGCAGGTGCTTCTCACTAGTAGCCCTCAGAACAGAGAGATGGCTACAGGGTAGAAATAAATTTGTTCTAGGCAAATGGGGAGCAGCAAAATGGCAAGACTGCAGCTGCTCCCAGATCTTCCATGAGGCTGTCCTGCTACACATCTGAAAGCTCTGAAAATGCAAGAGGAGCACCATTCTCCATCAACCTGAAGGTGTGCTTGTAAGTAAAAATCCACTATAAATGCTCACTCATGTATTTCCCACATGATTCTTACACTACACAATTCTTTTCTACCTTATTGTGACTATATCCACTAACAGTGGAAAAGTTCAAGTTGCCTTTGCTGAGAGAACAAGTTAGAGGAGTGAAGACTGAAAATTTTGGAGAACCCCTCAGCTCACTTCTGAGGCTGGAGATAGAGGTGTCAAAGACATGAAATTCCTACATGGTCCATGAGCATTGGTGGCACAAGAGTAGAAAAATGTGCCAATGTAGAGTCCTTAGAGAGGGGAAAACTAACACTGTCCCAGTGATGGTGCTGGTGATGGTGATGGTGCTGGTGCTGGTGATGGGGATGGTGCTGGGGATGGTGCTGGGGATGGTGCTGGGGATGGTGATGGTGATGGTCAGGCAGGCCAAGGGCACCAGGCAGCTGTGAGCAGGCACATGTGCTTTGTGTCACCTCTTGCCTGTTCTACTGGGGCTAGTTAGAAAAAATAAGTGTTTTGGAGGTGGTTTCATTGGGGTTTTTTTAGGAGGGGAAAGCTACACGAATGGTCTGTGGGAAGCTGAAAAATTGAAAATGTGGGGAAGCCTTGGAGCTTATATAGCACAAAGCCGAGCCAAGCAGCATCTACTGTGCTGCTCACAAAGCAGCTTGCTTGTTCCAGTGATTCTGTTTTGATGTGATGTGGTTCTGGGCATACATAGCAGATTTTTGTGTTCCAGGGCTGTAAGATGTCAGCACTGAATCCTAACCAATCTTTTCCATCTGCAGTGAGATCACAAAGGGAACAAGCAGTTACAAATAAATGGAATTTCCACATCTTTTCATGTATGCGTTTTACTGCAGCATTTTGCTATGCAAGACTGCTCTCCTGATGTAGCTTTTTAAATTTAAAAAGCATTGAAGAAGTTCCAGGCTCAGCTGCAGACAGCTTATCCCAAGGGATCCCTCATGCAGAGGTGATGTGTGCATCCCCACACCTAGAGGCATTAAAGCACACTGGGGCTTCACCAATGAAAGTGATAATATACGGTGTAATGCATAAATGAAATAAGCCAGAGGTACAAACACAGGAGTGTGTGTTGTGGTGTTTGTGCATGGGAAAAGGAGGAAGCATGGAAGAGGGGAGGGAGACAAGAAAGGGGTTTTGAGGTGCAGCACAC